GGGACAGTGCTGCTGTCATTTGTGGTTTCATAAACCATAATCTCAGTTTGTCTATTATTCCACAGTTAAAAAAAAAAATCACTGATTTCTGTAGCACAGTGCATGTGTGCATGGTAGCTCAGCTGTGCTGTAGCCAAAAGACAAATTTTCAGATGGGGTCAGTAAGTGGCATATTCAAATATTTAAAAATCAAATAAAATGATATATCGACTTTAATCAGAATGGTTTTGGTTATAGGTTTTGCCAAGTTGAAGCATTTAATACCATAAAGAACCAATAAATAAGTTGCTAAAGCTTCACTTTTCAGGTCTGAAAACAGCTCAGCTCTTACTTTACAGGAAGAACTCTATTGTGTAATTTTGAAGGTAACATGCTAGAATCTAAGGTTACAACCTGTGGGGTGCTACAGGGCTCCAAATTAGGTCCTTACCATTTTCTCATCTATGCAAATAATGGACTACCTGCTCCAAAGAAGGAACCACAGTGTGGCAGACTTTAAGGGGTTTCTAGTTAATGAAAAGAAAAAAGAAAAAGCAAAACACCAACTATATTGTCCACCACAGACATTTGGCTATCTTGTGGTTTATGGGAAGGTGGTGATGGTGAGAGGTTGCTAAACTAAATGCAGTGCCAGGAGGTCACTGAGAATCACAAATTTGATCCCAAATCCACAAACTATGAGTAAAAACAGGTGCACAAAATAAGACATGAAAAGCAGCCCACAAGCCATGATAAAAAAAAAATTAAAAAAAAGACTGCATGCTTTTAATCAAATTACAGATAGCAGGTAAAGTCAGGTGGACATCCAGGGAAGAGCTGCATTTAAGTCTGTGACAAGACTGTAGGAATTTGTTTTATCACTTATTACAGCATTAGAAATGTTTATGAGTATTCGTTTTTGATACCCTCAAACCGCAGGATTGTGTTGCTTCTGAGGAAACCTTTTAAGTTTAATAGTTTACTTCTCTCTAATATGTGAGTTTGTGTAAATTACAGGCCACCTTTGCTCAAAAGCCATAGAGTGCTGCAATATTAAGAATCCATGTGGCACATAGACCACTTTTCATAATCATTTATTGCTTTCCACCCTTCAGTGAATACAGAAGAAAAATGATAGAGCTGAGCAACAAATGGCACACGGGGACAGCCTAGTATTATAAAACTCTGGATTCAGTGATAAATTACTACATCAGCTGTAGTGATGAATGCTTTAGTAACAATTCCACAAAATTACTTATTGCAACTATAGAATAATGCTCATAGAGTAAGATGTGGACCAAATGTTGCCATATTATTGTTTTCTATCACTGTAGAGTGATTGGTCTAATATATTACAAGATTTTAATATTAATATAGGATTATATATTCAAAATGAATATTTTAGCATTCCTTCCTGCTGTGATGTGTTTTTATGCTGCTGGTATAATGTACAGTTCATGCATGTGAAATTATTCATGTGTGTTTTATTTTTAATAGTTGACTGAAGAGTGATTTAAAGGCAATATCCTTTCATTTTAGAGGAAAGCCTGTTATAAACAACCAGGATGAGATGTAAATGGTCTAATTATCCACAGGATTTGCCAGTTTATTTATACATTAAGTTTGTTTTCAGTGCATGGATGATTTTGGTGTGCAGCAAAAATTGGCACTTATTTTCCTAGAGCACAGACATATTTTAATACTCAAGTCAGACAATTAAGGCGTACAGTGATGATTAACATATTATGAATATTAAAAAGGACCAACTTGAATAACTGAGCCCCTAATGTATTTAAAAAACACCAATAATTTTTGTTATTGTGAACCAATCCACCATCAGTGTTTATTGCTATTAAGGAATTTAATTATCCAGCAACTCTGTTAAGTAGTCAGAGAGAAGTCCCATGAGCTGTTTATGCTCTGCCCAAACAACTGAATAAATCTAGTGATACAGTATCGCACACAACAGTGGTGTAGATGCCAGACAGCACTGATTTATCACTCTCATTATGCCACATTAGTCAGACTAAAACACTGACAAAAGGGCTGAAAGAGAGACAGAGAGAGAAAGAGAGAAGCCTAAAGGAAAGTTACTGGAACAAAGCTTTAACAAGTAATGTATCATTAATCTCAGCCTGCTCCCCACGTGTCACATCTGTTTCCTGTTGACACATGGCACTCTTTAATCTTAGGAACCAAATTAAAAGCAATGCATATCCCACTAACATTTGTGCCAGCCAAACTCTTTACCACAGCCACCATCTTTTCCACTAGAGAAAGAGGTGGGACCTGGGCATCCTAGCTGCATGTGCTCTGCAGAATTTAGTCTTATTATTTGTAGGAGATCCAACTCAAACAGAAAGTAGCTTTCAGCACTTACAGAAATGTGAAACCTGTTATCAAAGGCTTTTCTATTCACCCTGGAGTCAATGCAACACTCTTGACTTGAGAGAGTACTTGGAGAGTCATTCAATTTAGTGTATGACAGATATGAGCTTAAATCTGTCAGATAAAACTAGTTTGTTTTGGTGATTAGTTGATCAGTGAGTTCACAGAGAAAAGAAACTGACAACTGATTGCCTTTTAAGTCTGGTTTTCTTTAAAAAAGTCAGTTTTAAAAAACTTTATAAAGTGAGCATACAGTTTTTTTTTTTTTTTGGTCAGACATATTATGTACCAAATGATCAGTTAACCAAGAAAATCATCATTATCCTTAAAATGCACAATTCATTTCCCACTAATAGTTTCCTGAACAATATATTTGCAACCTCCCACATTTATTTACTAATTAAATAAGTGAAAACATCATGTGATGAACACTGAGCTACTCACATACTCCTGAACAATCATTTAATTGTGCTTCTGGTTGAGAAACATCTTGAAGGTTTTCTCTCAGATATTTATAATATTCCATGGGAAGGCTTTTAAATCAGATTCACAATTGCATTGATTGACATGTCTTAATTACATAAATCTCCTCTTTACATGCGCCTCTAAAGAAAGATGCCATTTTCTTTTTCTTTTAAATGGAAATCAAATACCATTCCCACAGCTTTCACTCCATTATCTATACTGCTTATCCTGAAGAGGGTTGCGAGGGGCGGGAGCCAACCACAGCTGACACTGTGCTAGCGGTGGGGTGCACCCTGGACAGATCGCAAGTCAGTCACAGTCCTTTAGAAAATTTTCTATCAATAATTATAATTACAACTGGGGCAAGTATATGTTAGACTGTTTGAGATCATTTTAAATGTTTGCAATCTAGTTAGTGAACAGGACACGATCATTACGAAAAAAAAAACTGATATACAGTAGAAGCTTGACTTTTACTTAGGATATAGTACCAGTACATAATTTTGTGCATCTTTACTCTTATACATTAAATGCCCTTAATGCAATTAAAGAGACATTCAATCCAGAAGCAACGAGTTTTAAAGCTCTTTTCACAATTTGTCTCATCAGCACGTTTTTTTTTTTAATCTGTGTATTTTACCCACATCTGCCTGCCTGAAGGTAAAGGTAGTCATTTTCAGCCCATTCCTGACCCTACTTATCTGATGAAAATCACAGGCTGGCCAGTCAGATATTACTTCCTGGCTACTATGCGTTTGGCAAGTGACCACCATTAGGATCTAAAGGCAAAATCAACCATGGTCTGTACTTCATTTCAAATGCCAGTACTTTTGCACAGTCAGAAAAAAACATGATGAAGGCTAGTTATTTCTTTAAGATGAAACCAGAATATGCTGTGAAAGTTGCTAAAAGATATTCATTACTTTTTAAAGGTTAAGCACTAAGGCACCAGTCGCCACAGATCTGCCAAGACGGAACCTAATATTACACTCTACAACATAATTTTCAACTTGATATCATATATTGAGTGCTAGCTGTAATACATACTGCATGAGTGCTACTTATTCTTCATGTAATGCATCACCATCCCTTCATTATTAAAGGTTAAATTGAAACATTTTCATATAATACTGACTGTCTAGTACATTTGGTAGAGCACTGATAAATTTGGTAGAGAAAATTCTAAACAGTTGAAATAATTTTTTCCTACATCAAAATGTAAAATTGGCCTTAAGCTGGATAAGTAATTGAGCTTCACAATTTCAGTATAATAAATATTAATTGAATGTCATTTTATTAATTTTAAAATGACCAAATTTTAACAAAATACATGTCAACACAACCATGCTAATGACTTTGTGAATCTGTACTTAGGCATAATGGTGCTTTAAATGCTAATAAGCTCACAGGGACAATCCTAACACTGCATTGTTAGCATGTCAGTTAACATGTTCACTTTAGCAGGTAATATTTAGCAGTTTCACATGCTAATCACAAAGTAGAACAGATGTTTGAGTGTTTTGGACAAATTCTTATTTTGAATACATGGAAACTTTCACTTTTTAGCCACATTGTCAGTGAACCATGAACATCTTTACAAAGATGTGTGATTTCAGTTAGTTAATGTCAAACTACTTCATATGAAAGAAACGTCTGGCTTGTTGGTAGTGCTAAAAGACAAAGTCATTATTATTCCCTAGAGACCTTGAATATCTGGAGCAAATTTAACTGTAGCTGATCCTATAGTTGTCAAGATATTTCACTCTGACCCATAAATATCAACTTTATTATGGTACTAGAGGAAAAGTGAGGGTATCTGTAAAGTCAGGATGGTGACTGAATGTTTATAGAAATTCCCATGACAATACTGTACATGTAACAGCTTTTGATGCAGTTGACCATTTAATCTGGGCCAAAGTGGTGATTTACAGCCATAGAGCCACACCCTATGGAGGGATGTCGGAATATCCATCTGTAGGTTGAACTGTTCTCCAGTTTTGGGCTCTAATACAGGATATGATTAACAGACCGATGCTGCTTTGAAACCCTGATAAGGTAATGCAGCAGGTTTAACTTAAAATCTTAGTGTTCATACATGGAGATATCACTAAAACAGCTGAGACATGACCAGACTTGTTTTTTTATTTTTTTATTTTTTTTTACCTGCAGCAATGTGGTATCATTTCACAGGCAGTCCACATTTACATTTGGCCATATTTCCACATCTTTGCCCTGAGGCTCATGCCCATAGGAAATCGTATCACAAAAAGCACCTTCCCAACATTCACTGAAACTGGAATTTTTGGGGATTTGTTGCTTTTCATGTGGTCACATGTTTCCTGTTAGTTAACAAACACCACAGTTCATTATGGCCAAAAAGAAAGACAGATTTGCCCTCCTCTAAATTAGCTTATCGCAAACATTCAGTACACCATTGAAAATGAATTAAAGCATGTGGAAAGGGCGACTGGAGAGCCTCGGGTATAAATTTTCTGGGTTCTTTTGTCATTTAAAATGGTCAACATTTCAATAAAGCACTTACTTTTCCAGAGTTCACAAGTTCACATTGAAGATTAGAGTTTTGGATTGACCATTCCTTAAAACATTAGTTATACAGCTGCTTGCCACAGGAAACATGTTCAAGTCTAAATTGCACTTTCTCAAACAATTTTCTCTTGTTTCTTTGTCTGACAAAAGCAAAAATCATGAGCACAACTCAATACTTTGCTCAATAAACCTAACTAAACCCCTTCAGTGATGTTATAAAACAGCAGTAAAATAGATATGAGAGGGAGCACGGCTAAGGCAGTAATTGCTTTTGGTCTGTTATTGAGGATCAAATTAAAGCAAGTAGAGAGCAGCATAGCTGTTACAGCTGGACATCAAATGTTTCCATCCCAGTTGCAAGCTCTGCTGCTTTAAATGCTTGATCTAATGTGCAGTCATTAATAGACACATTAGCACAGGGGAAGCAGAAATATTCAGTAGTGTGAAGTGCCTCTTATTTGTTCGTTAACGGAGCTGTGTCAGTGTGGTTAAGGCTTGTATAGAAACCTGTATGTAAACTTTGACTGGTAGTGAGATGAGATTTTAGCTGCTGCTTTATGTGCATAATTTGGCATTTAAAAGGTGGCCCAGGGGTGAAACCCTCTCCCCAAGTTAATGAATCATGGAGAGACTACGGTGGCACAAAAGTGAACTCTTTGAATTTAGCTGCATGTACAAGTCTCAGAGCTTCATCACTTCAGTTACAACAATGAAAAAACATTCACTTTTTTAATAACAGAAATCAGAACTCTGGACTCAGCAAAGCAGGGCCAGTTGCATAAAATTCTGTGTATATTCATGACTAAAACAGTACGCATGAAGAGAGAAGTGAGCGTATGCATTGTTTTCATCAGATTTATAAAGCCTCACTTACATAGACCTGGTTCTGTTTTATAAATTTGAATCGGCGTGGAATTGGGCGCATGTGCATGAGCTTTTTTTCCCACTCCCACTTTTAAGCATAAATAGATACAGTATAAACACACCCTTAATCATTCATTTGCATAGAAAAAAAAAACGCTGTCTGAACCACGTTATCAACGAAAAGCACGCTAAAGAATCGCATTTCAGTGACTGTAAAATTAAGACTGATTTGAGAAGTGGAGAAAAGAACATATGATTTGTTTGGTGGTCTCAAGTTATGGATCACAAACAGAAAAACAGTTGCTGACTGGCAGGCTCTCAGTACTCAGCTCAGAGCAGAGGGACATGGCTGAGCTTAAAAAAAAAAACAAAAAACAAAACAAAACAAAAGGGAAAGCAAGCAAGCATTGTTAGCAAGAGGCAAAAAAAGTGTGTATATGTACACCAAGAGATCACAAGGGCAACAAGAGAAGCACCTCCTGCATTTTCTACAGCTGATGAACACATCACAATTTTAGCTGTGCACCTTTTATGGCTTGTATGTTTATACATACAAGTTTATGCGTGGGAATAGGTGTACACATGTTTTTTGTGTGCATGCAACATTTACGCATCTGACCCCTGGAGTCCAATCAATGAAACCTGATTGGTGGTTTGCATTCGGCAACTTTGATTTATTTTAAAAATATCATTCATAAGACAAATCTGCCAATGAGAACCATGAAAACCTCAAAATAAGTAAAAATAATAAAATAAAGATCAGAAGACATGCCATCAAGAATTGTTGATTTTCATACAGCTGGAAAAAGCTACAGAATAATTTCAGAGTTAAGTTCATCAGTACACAGTTAAAGTGTTTACAAACGGGGAAGATGCTACTCACCCAGGAAGCAGGTTCCTAGCTAAGATGACTCAACATTCAGTGTCCGGTGAGGTAGAAGAGAAGGCCAGAGTAAAACAAAAGGCTTTAAACGAATCCTTCAGGCTGGTTAGTATCTCAGTTTACTTGTTAACACGTATCATGTTGCACTGTTGCATGAGCATGGTGTCAGCACCAGCAGAACCCTCTGCTCCCTGAGAAACAAACAACAACAACAAAAAACATCATCACTGCATGTCTGACATTTGCCAAAGATCACCCTGACCCTCATGATGCTACTGGGAAAATGTTTTGTGGACTGGTGACAGTAAGGCTGAACTGTTTGGGAAGAGCACACAGTTGTGGGCATGGTGTAAAAGGGCACTGTATGCCAACATGAAAACATCACAAAGATGAAGTGGGGTGATGGGACGGTCAAGATCTGGGGCTGCTTCGCTGTCTCTGGGCCTGGACAGCTCGTCATCACTGAGGATAAAATAAATTCCTATGTTTATCACAGTATCTTTTACAGGATAATGTCAGGGTGGCTTGTCTGGAGGCTGAAGCTCAGTAGAAATTAAATGATACAATAGGACAATTACCCTAAACATTAAAGTATATCTGCCAGGGAATGACTTTAAACAAAGGAAATCTGCCTTTTGGAGTGGCCCAGAACTTAATCTAGTCAAGATGTTTAGGAATCACCTCAAAAGATACATTCACAGTAAACATCCTAAGCAGGTGGCTGAGCAGCTGTGTGAGGATGAACAACCCAAATTTCCTCTTGAACACTGCAGATCTGAACCACAGTGACAGAAAGCTCTTGTTTGAGCTTTGACACATTACTAAATCCAAGGGTTCACTTACTTTAGATACAAAACATAACTGTTTGTGTTATTAGCTTTAGTAGACTGAGTTTGTCTTTACTTGTGACTTGCAGTAAATTCATATCAAGTCACATTTTGTGACCAGTTAACACAGAAAACCAAGTAATTCCACAGGGTTAACATACTGTTGTGTGCCACTGTATGCTATAGAACATTTGGTCAAGTCATTTAAAATAAAATTTAACACAGATCACAAAGGACAACCTTACTGCACGTTGGGACTTGCAACTAAGAAATAAGTTTTAAAGCACCATTAAAGCAACAACACTGAGTAACTTAACTTTGTCAGCGGCAATATAGAATTAAAATATTGAGTTAATAACTGTCTTCTGTGGTCTGATTATGACAGTTTAATGCAGATGCTTACCAGGGGCTTCATTACTTGGCTCCACTGCATGATTTCACTGTTGATCATTTACTACATGTTTTTATTTTGGAAACATTAAACCATTTGCTTAAAACAGGATTAATAAAGCTTTATCAACTATTATAAAAGCTGAGATGAGGAATGTGTCAGCAAACAGCAATGTTAATATTGGTTTGATCTCTTTTTTTTGTGTTCACCCAGTGGATGCAATGAGCATGACTGGCTAAACCCAAGCATTATAAGCCCAGTGTGAACATACGCATACCGGTTAGGGATAAAACTGGGACCTCACTTGTTTTAGAGGTCAAACGGAGACTTCAGCGAGTGACCCATGGGTAAAGCAACATGACCGTCACAGTCCTCAGTTTGATGCTCCCTGCTCAGCTGTGTGTGTGTGTGCAGCCTTGCCCTTGTGCAAACAGTGACAAACACAGGGAAAAAAAACAGCAGAACAGCCACAATCCTTCAAGTTTTGCTGGATTATGTATGGGAAGCTCCAGGCTACAGCTTGTTAAATTTCTGTGGTGGAAAACACTATAAGCCACATCCCCACTGGAGATATCTTTGGCACTTGGTTAGGATGTGACCAAAGAGTTTATAAGGTGTATCAGACTTGGCTGACTGGAGACACTGAGGGTCAACAGTTTAAGAAAAAGAGCCAGATGCACAGAAAGGGGCTGCATATAGCTGCAGCTCATTATACAAGATGAAAGAACAGATGTGATGTCAGCTAAGAAAGATGCAGAGGTAGTGAGATTAAGACAAGTTCAAATAGGTCATACAAGCCTCTGAAGATAGGGGCAAGGTAGTAGGGATTATCCTACATGATGAGAACAGCTAATCAGAAGAGCAGACTGCATACTTCATAGCATTTATTGTAAAAGAGGTCTGACAAACAGTGATCCTCTTGGCTGGATTAAAAACCATATGCATTTCAAACACTATGACACTGCATTTCAGCATAATTTATTTGAACATACGACTGTATTTAGATAGTTCCTAACACAATTTAGTTTGCCCTCTATCAAACAAATACTTGACTGCCAGGTCTGGCCACAGCCATCATTGGTGTGGAGGCATAAAAGTGATCAAAAGGAGTAGAACGGCTAACAAAAAATGCTCACAACAAACATCACTGGAGGAAATGAGTAAAGTATGAAAATATTATTTGCAATATCTCAGGAGGACACGGTGCAACAAAAACTAAAAGTTAGTGCAAGACATGGGAAACATGAGTCCACACATGAAAACCAAACTAACCAGAAAAGAGGTGAGTCCTTGAATAATGTCCACAAGAGACAACATGGAAATTGTAGCTCAGAGAACATAACAAAAACATAAATCCATGAAAATAAAGATAGAAAAGCAGGGAGTGGCTGGTTTAAATACACAGTCTATGTGATTACTGATTGACAACAGGTGAGTGTGATTAGTGAGGTAACCTGGATCAGATGAGAGTGGTGTGTAGCAGAAGGATGTCAAAATAAAAGCATGAATCAGGAAATACAGGGAAATCGTGACACTATGTTTGAGATGGTTTGGTTTAGGTACAAGGTTAGCAGTGGTTAGCTTTAATTCAGATAGAAACATTGTCTTAGAAGACAGCTGTCTGAGGTTAGAGTGTGTTAGACACTGACGCTTTTGTAAGAAAGGAGGTTTGTTTGTGTGATGTTAAGGCTAGATTTAATTTTAGCTGATTTCCTAACAAGTGGATCAGAATTAGAGAAGGGCAATGATTAGCAGACTATTAAATCCTAATAATGGTACCTTTTTTGCAGAAGCACTGCTGGGCTGATCAAAATGGCAAACTTTTGGGAATAATGTAGCTGCATGTAGTTGCAATTTAATGTAGAAATCACTAATTCTTTGAGGGACTGATGTTTTAGCACACAGTTTTGTTAATGAATGTGCTTGATGCTTCTCCAGAGTCATTTAAAAAAAATTATGCTACAGTTAAATAGTCTGTTAATCATTATTTTTCATCAGGTTTCAACCAGCCATGTGTCTTCTGTCCTCTTAGATTTGCTGCAGCATCTCACAGGGATGCATGCTATAAAAGGGATGCAGGGCATTTATGAGCCTTTTGAAGTGATGTGCATTCAAGCCTCTCTGGTGTATTATGTCAGGCTGTCCATAGCTGCACTCAGTTTTGCATAGGATGCAATTTAAAGGGAATTACATCAGTTTGGAAATACAGTAGGCAAGGACCTTTGATGAAGGATTTCCAAGAGAAAGGGATTATCCTCTCATGCTTCATTTGAATCCTTGGAGGAAGTAGAGCACATCGACCCCAGCTCTAAGACACATTTTCCCAGCTTCATTCATACAATTCATGATGCTAAATTTATGATGAAAAGTGTATTGAAGAGACAACATGCAGACCAGCTGCAAGCTACATAAACTGAAAGTCAATACATCACCTGAAGTCATCCCTGAAGACCAAAAGAATTATTAAGTCTTTTTGTAATGTACCAAAAAATGCATGCATTGAAAAACATCCAAATAATTATGTCCAGAAAATCCTTATAAAATCTTGATCACTAATTCAGTTCTGCACCGCAAGGCTGATGTCTTTGGGAACGAACACACACACACAGACATATTTTCTACAGAGGCCTGAACCATCTGTTAGCTTTCCTAAACACCTGTGTGGGCGACCACCTGCACTGGAAACATCCTGGTTGGACAAGCTTCACAATAAGTCTATAATTGAGTGTGCCCTTTGTAAAATCTGGAGCAATTTGGAACTCTTCTCTTCACATCTGGTGAGTGGTTAATGAGTTTCTGACTTCAAACAACTGAAACCTACTAAATTAAAATAAGATTTTGTGAAATACCCTCTCAGAATTAAAAATTTTAACCTTACAAATATAATCCATTTAGCTGAGGTTGGACATTTGTGCCAGAAAGATGAAGAGTCGATTACCCAACTGAGATAAGAGGGAGTTCATCAAGTGTCAGAACTTCATTTTGTTATGTCTGTGACCTTGACCACAGCTGGCTGCCAGGCAGTTAACTAAAAAGCCACAGCGCTCTTTGGTATCCTCTGGGTTTGAACTCTGGAGATGGGAGATGGTGATTTGACAGTTATTTAAGCTGCCATTCATTTAGTTATTTCATTTTTTTAGTTTTAAATAGCTTTGAAAAAAACTAACGTAATAGCCCACTGTAGGTTTTCTTTTCACATTTTCTAGTAATACATAACCCAGGTATCAATTTGAAAATGTCCTGTTTCATTTAATATCAGAAAAGCAAAATATAATATATTTTAAAATGGAAACAAATGGTATGCCATGTAACAAACATAACATACAGTTTGGCTGTATAACTTTCAAAATAAGATCCCAAAAGTTTATATTTTATGAGGCTCCAAATCAGCATAAAATACCAGTCAGTACAAAACATGAACAACTGTATTAGAAATTAGAAATGATCCAATTTTTTGATACAAAGTCATAAATAAAAGCTTATGTGCATTAAAACATAAGGTGAAAAATTCACTATGTGCACTATGTACAAGGTTCATTTTGGCAAGAAACATCCAATTATAAATTTTCAGATTCTGTTATGTGTGCTGCTAATGGTGGAACTGGCCTCTTCTTCGTAGCATAAGTGTCCAAGGCTCATGGACACTGTGGTGGTTAAAGCCTTCTACCATTAAACTGGAGGAAAACATTATTTCTTAGAAACGGAGCTGAAGTAATGAAAATGCATACTGTAGCAAATATACCTAAATAGCATTTTTAAATATTTGGAGCATCTTGTGTTTTTCCAATGGGGAACAAGAAAGTTTGACAATAAGAGTTTAGATTGGGGAAGGTACTTATTTATCTATTTGAATTCAGAGCTGCATTTTTGACCTCTTTTCTTTTCATCACACTCATTCGATCTTAGTCTAACAAAACTGTGGAGGGTGTATCATGGAGTACTTTCATTTCATTTTTGTTTGAAACTGTTTAGATTTTTTTTCTCATTGTCACAGCTTGATTACATTTTTTTTAAATATGTGGCAGGGAAAGCTCACCTATTGTACAGAAAATTGAGAAGTACTAAATGAAAATAGTTGTGCATGCTAATCCGTTGTACGCTCAGGTATGAGATGTAATCCTGCTTTCTCCATTGGAGTTCCATGCTGGTGCACCTAATATACCATGTTGTCACGAACTGGCCAAGCATGTACTGTAAGTCCCTCCTCTAAAGTCCTTTCTAATTCATATTAGATGTGGATAATTGAGAATGCCAGTGGGTGTTGCTTTTAACAATGCAGGATTGCTGTCTGGCTCTCTTTTGGCTTGGTAATGTTAGTGGTTGTCATCCCGAGGATTAGTGGATGAATCAAATGATGAAGGATACATGTGGTTTCCCAGATTAGGACTGACCTGTTTTAAAACATAATGGTGATTTCTTTTCATCCGATTAAAGCCGCCAACTGACCCAAATGATTTAGCTTTCTCTGTAATATAATTTGAAATATCTGCAATAGTAGCATGAGAAGTAATTACATTTTCATTCAGCTAAGAAGCCTTTATTCCATTCAGTTCAGATCAGAACCAATTTATTGAAGCTTGTACTCTTGCAGCCTGTGTTTGTTCTGCACATGTTGATCTTGGGGCTGTGTTTGACTGCCCATCTGTCACAAGAAACATCAAAATCACCCACATCAACTCCTCATACTGTTTTCGGTGATGTTTAGACTGGTAATCTATGTTTCTCCTCAACAGACTAATGCTGTTTCTGTGCTGCTCCTATCTTTATATAGGTTTAGAGTTTGGTGTTTGTGTGTGCATTTTACATTAAACTTGAAGGTCAATTTTTGCCTTTGGAAGTAGTGTTTTACCGTGACGGCATTTCCACACCTAGATTACATTATGATCCTTAACAGAACACAAGGGTTAAAGTGACTATAAAGATTGTTTTCGAATTCCAACTAATGATGAAATCCATGAGATATGGCATAAAGCTCCAGAAAAAAGTGACTATAAAGATTGTTTTCAGTTGTTTTCAGGAGTGATAATACAACAAAGAGACATACATTGCAAGCAATTAACAACTCATGACTCTATGGTACCTGATAACAATAAACCATCTGCATTGCCTGTTAGTCGGTATCAGAGTCAGACTAATAATTCCGGGTGCTATCCAGATAAATTAGGTTGTCAAACTCTTTTACCAACTTAACCTCGTAGTTCAAACCACGATCATTCAAAAAACAGGTGCAACTAATGATCACAGAGGAGAATCACACTCAATAACATAAAATCACTTTGTTTACAAAAGACAATGGCCATTAAATGTGTTTCTCCTATTAGATCTGAATAAATTGGAACATGGACTGTTGCACATTAATATTTCATCTTATATAGAGAAACACTGGGTACCATAGACCCCATTTTATGGCAGTTTTTTGTGCTATAAATTACCAGATGCACTAAACAAGTACAGTAGTACAGTTAAAGCCGAAGGGAATGCTATTCATCTTGGTTTTGGTCCTAAGCGAAAATGCTAATTTAAAAAAATGATTCTCGATGAAGGTCAGGGGATTGAAGTTACCCTAACCCTAATTAATACTCTCTGGAACATTTCACGGCAATTCGCCCAACAGTAGTTAAGATATTTCACTCTGGACCAAAATGGTAGAACAATCAGCTGAGTGACAGAGAGACTGATATTACCATCCCCAAAGCCTTATCACTAGCATGGCTATAAATGAAATACTAACCCATAAAACTGCTGAGGACATCAGAGTACATCACTTTTAATCTCTAAAAGCATCATCCAAAGAGAACCATTCACCTGAATGAAATGTTATGAGGAAGAAGGGTTTCAGAGGAATTTGTGAAGATAAAGAAATGGTGTGATAGTAATTTACTATCTTTGAATTTGGAGAAAACTAAATATATGGTATTTGGGAACCGTAGACCACATAATGAACTTCAATTGAGAATTGGGGGTGCTAATATTGAACGAGTGTATGAAATCAAATTTTTGGGTGTCATGGTTGACGACAGATTATCCTGGAAATCTCATATCAGTTATGTTCAGCATAAAATAGCTAAAAATATATCGATATTGGCAAGGGTTAGATATATGCTGGACGTTAAAGCATTGCGTATTTTGTATTCTTCATTGATTTTGCCATATTTGGAGTATGGCGTGGAAAACTGGGGAAATACATACAGGAGTTCACTTCAACCATTGTACATATTACAAAAGAGAGCGATAAGAGTTGTGCACAAGATGGGGTATAGGGATCACACAAATGCAGTTTTCATACAGTCCAAATTGTTGAAGTTCTTTGATTTGGTGGAATATAAGAGTGCTGTGTTTATGTATAAAGCCAGGAACG